AGAAGGTTTGTGGGTTGATGGTGTTTGACAGGCAGGTAGGAGGCTCAGTTATCTGTGAGTGTAGCTGTGCTGTAAGTAAACAGTCTGAACTCAGATCAGTTTTCTCTGACAGAGATGAAAGTTTAGTTTGAATCACCAACTCTGTGAGAGGACACCAGTTTAAACCTCCAGACTAACATGTTGCACATGAAGAAACAAGTTATGTTTCTGCTTCTTAACAGTCACATGGATAAGTCAGAGTTTACAATGAACCTGGGGACAAATCCTAGTTGGCTCACATTAGTTATTTGTTGAGAGCATAAATAGAGAGATGTTGAGCTTTTCAGATGATGATCAGTAAGTGTGTGCTCGTAAATCAGCCCTTAAACCTGTCACACACTGCTGGAGACATGACACACACATTATATATATATACAACCTGTCACCTTGAGTCTGATTTATTTATTTAGAATTTTTTGTTGACTAAATTATTTTTGAATTTTTTTTCAACTACAATTTTGACATTTTTTTTGACATTTTGAATTTTCATTGAGTAAAACATTTTTGAATTTTTGTTGACTTTAACATTTTAAACTTTTTTCAACCAAAATATTTTAAATTTTTAACTAAAACATTCAGAATTTTGAATTTAATTAAATTCTAAAATTAAATTATTTTTTTTAAAAATGACTAAAATATGACTTAAAAAAACCCCGTTTCCAACTAAAATAGAAAAAAAACCTAAAATCCTTCTAATTGTCATCAACTTAAATTTTTAGAATTTTCGTGGACTAAATTATTTTTTTAATTTTTTTCAACTAAAAATTTGACATTTTTTGACGAAAACATTTTGAATTTTTCGTTGACTTAAACTTTTTGATGACACATGAGTTAACCTCACTGAATCAGTTTAAGAGAACACACATGTAGAAAACATCAGGACTAGAAGTTGACTGTAGTATATAGTCTGACTATAACAAACATTTTCATCTCAAGACTGAGACTTAAACAGCTGTCAGAATTAACACTGATATAACCAATCTCAGTATGATCATTGGCAGGATGCAACACACCACCAGGGCTGTGCACAGGTGTGTTTCATCCTGCCAGCTCAGTCAGGAACACTCTCGTCATAGATTTAACCATTTATTACAACAAATACAAATACAGTTATACTGATGGCTCCACTCTTAAGATGCTCAGCATGCGGTGTGTGTCAGCGTTGGTGTAGCACGGATCAGTGAGTAGGAGGCCATATCTAAATGGAGCTCCTTGTTGTGAGAACGGGCTGTGATTGGTGTGTGACTGATTAGAAGCAATGATCCAATGATCCAATCAACAACATCACACACTGCTGGAGACATGACACACGTTATTTTATACAGCCTGTCACCTTGATTCTAATTTCTGATACATGAGTTAACCTCACTGGATTAGTTTGAAGAGGAAACACATGTAGAAAACATCAGGACTAAAAGTTTAACGTTTTTGAATTTTTCGTTGACTAAAATGTTTTGAATTTTTTCAACTAAAATAGAAAAAAAAAATCAAATTTTTGTCGACTAAAACCTTTCTCATTTAAATATTTAGAATTTTTTGTTGACTAAATTATTTCTTAATTGTTTTCAACTAAAATTTAGAGATTTCTTGACTAAAACATTTTGAATTTTTATCAACTAACACATTTTGAATTTTCATTGACTAAAACATTTTGAATTTATTTGACTAAAATATTTTGAAATTTTCTGACTAAAAGATTTTGATTTTTTTGTGGACTGAAATATCTTTTAATTATTTTCTACTAAAACATTTTTTATTTTTATCAACTAAAACATTTTAAAATTTTCAACTAAAATATTTTGAATTTTCGACTAAAACATTTTGAATTTTTGTCGACTAAAATGTTTTAAACTTTTTTCAACTGAAACGTTTTGAATTTTTTTGTAGACTGAAATATTTTTATTTTTTCTCTACTAAAACATTTTTTATTTTTACAAAAGATAGTAAATCCCTGTGCACAGCGGCGCAGTGCTTCTTCTAGGTGCCAGCTGGTGCAGGATAAATTACAGTCAAGAGTTCAAAAACTTCGAGCGCACACTAGAATATCAGGATTGACACAAAGTTTATTCAAAAATGTTTAAACATTTTTGAATAAACTTTGTGTCAATCCTGATATTCTAGTGTGCGCTCGAAGTTTTTGAACTCTTGACCATTTTTTATTTTTATCAGCTAAAACATTTTGGATTTTTGTTGACTAAACATTTAGAATTTTGAATTTAATTAAATTCTTAAATTAATTAATTTTTTTTAAAAATGACTAAAATGTGACTAAAATGAATTAACATTTTCCTCTCAAGACTCAGATTGAATCTAAAGTTGCTGTCAAAATGAACACTGTAAAAACAACCAGTAACATTTCTCTGACACTGATACAGTGACTGAAGATCAAGATTTTCATACAGATGATAAAACATGAAGCAGATTCTCAGCTGTGTTCGATGCTTCAAACTGTCTGTTTACAATATGAGAATAAAATGCTGCTTGTCTCTTCTTAATGTGTGAATGTTTGGAGAAGGGTCCAAATGTTGGGACCATCTCAGAGTGAGGCTGATTCTCAGCACATGAGGCTGTGGGCTCATCTCATTGGCTCTGGAGAGTCAGTTGACTGATGAGCAGAGAACAACATGAGGCTTCTTACATGAACTTCAGAGATTTTCAGGTTCCTGCTGTGTGATTGTTCATGTTCCTCTCTGAGTGTGAACCTGACAGCTGCCTGCAGAGAAGCAGAGCTCAGAGCATCTCTGAGACTTTATTAATTATAAATGATCCCATGCAGCAGAGAGCAGGCTGCACAGTGAGGAGGACGAAGATTCACACAGACTGGACGTGTCCTGTTTTCTCAGCTCAGTCTGTGACACTTGTGTCGCTGCGTGAGTGAAGATTCACAATCATAGTAAGATGCAGGAGGGAAAGTTGAATCAGATCTGAGGAAGAGGAGGAGGGGAGGGTGGGGGGAGGGGCTCATCCAACATGTATGAACAGTAGGATTAAGGGGGGGGGGGGGGTCCTGCTGTGTGTTACATCACAGTGTGTTCATGGGAGATTTTTTTTTTTTATATCTCAGATTATCTAAGAAGTGATGCTGCAGGCTCTGCTTACACACACACACACACACACACACACTGCACTGTATGTTGCACGCGGCCCCTCCCCCCTCTGCGCACTGAGCGCAAAAACCGCTCCATGAATTCTCTCTGGGCGCATTACAGAGCAAGATGGCGCTCGTGCTGTCAGCACCTCGGACAGCTCCGGCACCGAACTCAACCATCGATCTGATCTGATTGATCGGCGGAGGAGTCACGTGTCTGATCTCGATCAGTCGGAGCTTTCAGATGATGTGACTGCGTCCAGGTGTCGCGTGAAGCTGTGCGCCAGAAAGGGGACTAAAATCTGGATCAAGTTGACTGCTGACAGACAGGACCGTGTCCTCCTTCTCCTCCTGCTCCTCCTGCTCCTCTGCAGAGACAGTCTTCACTGAGGAGTTGAGGAGGGAAATAAAAAGAGGAGAAGCGGCCTGCGTGTGTGCGCGGGATGGAGGGGCGCGTGCAGAGCCCAGCAGGAGCCGGTTCGGGAAGGAGGATCAGTGCTGCCTAGTGTGTCTCCCTCTGAGCTCCGCTTCACTCCGTGTCTCTCCGCCGCTCCGCTGATGAAGATGTTGGCGCTGCTGCTGACGGTGTCCTCGGTGCTCTGGAGCCGCGGCTCCGCGCTCAGCTCTCACTTCAGCTCAGGTGAGCCCTCGGTCCGTCCGTTATTGTGCTGCTGCTGCTGTGTGATGCTGTCAGCCGGCCGGTGGGCGCCACACAGCGGGCACACATGATGTCATGTCCCGCAGGTGTCGCGCGCTATGTCCTTGTTGAGGTGTCTGGATGTAAGCGAGGCTGCAGAAACATCAGGTGTGAGTGACAGCAGCTGCTCTGGGGTCAGCTGAGAGTAAAGGTGACAGGCAGGAGGGCAGGTGAAAGGTGGTAGCGGAGGAGCGGAGGCCGCCTCTGATTGGAGCTGCTGTTATCCAATTAGTGGAGAAGCAGAGGATTATGGGAGATGATGAATGGGTGCTGATCATGGTGAAATCATCAGAAATCGGGCTTCTTTTTTCCAGTACCGTTATTATTCTGCAGCATGAGCAGCGGCCTGTCATCCAGGTGGTTGCTATGGTAACCAGGAGGTGCAGCAGTCTCCGGATTGTTTCCAGCACTGAATAAAAATGGATGGAGTGTACAGTGTGGGAGCAGCCAGTAAATATCCTGTAAAGGTTTCTGAAGTGGTCTCTGCTGCCTCGCTTCACGGCGCCCTCCTGCCCTTTAACAAGAACATTATCTGAGTGATTTCAGTGTTTCACTCTCTGCAGCGGGCAGTTTGTAGCAGGACGACAGGAGGAAGGTTTTCATTGGCTCTGTAGCTGCAGAGCGTCTTAGTCTGGTCTGTTCTCTGTTGAACGTTTCAGCTGATCTAAAACACAAATTCACAACATTTAGGCCCCAGCTGGGTCTGTGACACATCACTCCTCCATCTGGGAGTCGCTACAACTCAGAGGGCGACGAGTCGATGATAAATGATATCAGTGCATCACGTTGTTTGATTTCTACTCATGATTTATTTTCTCACTTTTAAAACACAGCACACTGTATGTGTAGTGATCCATAGTTTAACAGATGAATGTACCTGCAGACAGCGTGGCTCTTGTTCAGGTCTCTTTTCAACCTCACAGCCTAAATGTTTCCACACTGCAGCTTCAAACCAGTCAGATTGTTTCTATCTGTGCTCACACACTGATCCTCTGTGGGATATTTATGTCAGCATAGTGTCCAGTGATTAAATGCTGTAATATTTACCAGACACAGACTGAAATGACTGCGTACTGTTGAAGATAAATGATCTGCAGCCTTTTTACTTTAAAAAGTGAAGTGTAATAATTAATGTGAGAGCACCTGACAGTCTGCTGCCTGTATGAGTGTAGTAAAATCAGGGGGAGGTGGAGGCTCTGTTGGTTGTTTTAATGTCTCCATCAGTGGAGAGCAGCCGAGATGCTGAGCAGAGCAGGTGCAGAGTTATTTTGGTTGAAGTAGTTTAATGCTGCAGTGTGTGTCTGTCAGCCGGTGTCATTTTTTAACATTACTGCTGATTGCTGCTCCGCTCTGTTAACGTTTGTCTCTGGGTGATGGCAGAAGGAAGTTTTCACTGTATACTTCACGTTCACCTCGTAAATGTAATCATTCAGACATCAAACTAAAACAAGCTCAAAGCTGCTGCCTTTTGTGAAGATGAAGGGATGATGCCCGATGAGTCCATTAGCAATTTTTAACGGCTGATGTGGCAGCGTGAACCATCCGACACGCCGCAGAGGTAGTTTAAAAATGACAACTGACAACTCGAAGGGTGTTATCCTGCTTATACCATGGCCACTTATCAGAGAAATAAAGTAAGAATATTCATTCATATTTTCTCAAGTTTTTCACAAGCCATAACTCCATGGCAACACCTGGGGGTTTGAGTAATACCTGGAACAATCATTGCCACCCCGTAAGGTTTTTATGCAGTAGAAACATTATTCAGTCCTCCAGTAAATAGGACGAACCTTAGATACGACTTAGCATCGGATGATATTTTTAGTTCACTCAGCTCATGGAACCCTTTAGCTCAGCTATTAGCCGGAAAGCTAGTGTTATGCTAACAAGACTTAAAGTCAATAACAGTAACGAACAGTAAATATAATCTGACAGTATGTTTGACAACAAGTGGCAGCTATCAGCCATGTCACTGTCCCCAAATCAATATCAAGATTTTCACAAACGATACACCATGTTTAATTTTACTGTCAGTTGCAGCCTGAAGTAGTGGCTCCAGTATTCATCCAGACCACAGTATAATTACAGTATTGTGGTATGATAAGTTATATCTAGTGTGTCCGTGCTGTAGACTGTCCCGGTGCTGCACTGCCCTCGAGGTTGAGTTCTGCCTCTTTCGGTCCATCAGCATCAGGTTATTAACAAACATTTAGATAATCAATTATCGACATTTGTGGATCGATGTGGAATCATCCACGTCTGCATCGCCATGCATCTAAGAATTGATTATTTCCCCCACCCGTAGTTTGGACTGAAAAAGATTCAGTTGTGATTGAAATGTTGTCTTTTTAAATAAAGTTGTAGTTTGGATGGAGTGTCTCTTTGAGTTTCAGCGAACCTGCGGCTTCATGTTGTGTTTATTAATGCACTCCTCTCCTTAAAGGCCTGGACGTACCAAACTGACACTGACTAGTGATGACGAAGTCCGACTGTTTGTGTCGCCGTGTCTCAGCAAAAAAGTTTCGCGTGAGAGGAAATAACTCTCCACACCAGCAGACAGCAGTTTTCTGTATTCATCATTAATTCAATTCAATTAAATTTTATTTATAAAGCCCAATATCACAATTTGCCTCAGAGGGTTTACAGCATATGACATCATTCTGTCCTTTGGACCCTCACAGCAGATCAGTAAAGCTGAGTTAGTGACATGCAGTAAGAGGACGTGAATGTAAGCAAATGAAGAAGAACCAACTTTTCAGAAACTGAGGACACAGAGAGAGAAGGAGAGAAGGAACTTGGTGTATTATAGGGGGTCCCCTGGCAGACTAGGCCTAAGTCAGCCTAACTAGGGGCTGGTTCAAGACAAGCCTGAGCCAGCCCTAACTATAAGCTTTATCAAAAAGCAAAGTCTTAGTGACATGCAGTAAAGCCATGTTATTGACATGCAGTAGAGTCGAGTTAGTGATGTGCAGTAAGAGGATGTGAATGTTAGCAAATGAAGAGGAACCAACTTTTCAAATACTGAGGAGAGAAGGAGAGAAGGTGCTCGGTGTACCACGGGAGGTCCTCCGGCAGACTAGGCCTAAGTCAGCCTAACTAGGGGCTGGTTCAAGGCAAGCCTGCGCCAGCCCTAACTGTAAGCTTTATCAAAGAGGAAAGTCTTAGTGACATGCAGTAAAGCTGAGTTAATGACATGCAGTAGAGTCGAGTTAGTGATGTGCAGTAAGAGGATGTGAATGTTAGCAAATGAAGAAGACCCAACTTTTCAGAAACTGAGGACACAGAGAGAGAGAGAAGGAGAGAAGGTGCCCGGTGTATTATAGGGGGGTCCTCCGGCAGACTAGGCCTAAGTCAGCCTAACTAGGGGCTGGTTCAAGGCAAGCCTGAGCCAGCCCTAACTATAAGCTTTATCAAAAAGGAAAGTCTTAAGTCTAGTCTTAAATGTGGAGACGGTGTCTGCCTCCCGGGCCAAAACAGGAAGCCAAATTTTAAAATGAATTCCAGAATGAACAGGAAGTCGATGAAGAGCCTTTTAAAGCAGAGTAATGTGTTCTAGGACATTTGGTCTTGGTGAGTCGACGTGCTGCTGCGTTTTGGATCATCTTAAGTTTGTTTAAAGATTTCTGTGAGAGGCCTGAGAACAATGAGTTGACTGAGAGATATTTTTAATCAGAAAAGATGATTTAAATATCATGAAGAAGCTTTTTGTAAATGTTAGTTTTGGCCCTGGCCTGGTTCTGACAGGCTGCAGAGGATTCATGTGTGACATCATGAGGTCAGTCATTAGATGCAGCCTCACATGTTATAGGTTTCATTTCTAAAGGCTGCAGTGGATGTGCTGTTGTAGTTTAGTGAGAAGAAGCAGATGAATGGAGGAGCTGAGCTGCAGCTGCTCGTCACATCTCTCCATCTCTGTTTTGATGAAAAGATGGAAGCAGAGAAGAGGCCTGGTGGAGCTGAGAGGAAATATATTTAAGAAGTGAGAGAGAGAAACCTGGCTCTTCCTCCGGTGTTGGCTGCTGCGTAGGGGGCAGGTCCAGGGATGACATCACGGCCCAGTGAAGGCGGGGCTTTGTATCAGCGGATGTTTACTGGCAGTGCTGGCTGCTTTCCCGGGCCCCAGGTTATCATTTCACATCTCTCAGTGGGCTCCTGGCTGCACATCCACAGGCACTCTCTAATTATATGGACACAAAGCAGACGGCGGAGCAGGACATGGTGTGTTTGAAAGCCTGCTGGACTACACTTGCTCCAGGCTGTCGCTAAGGACGATTCAGGGATGGAGCAGGTAAACCCACATATTCACAGCTGGAGGTTTGGTGTGTGTGGTCCCTCCGTACAGACAGGAACAGATTACAGAAGTACAGGATAAGTTTGACAGGATAAATGAGGTACAGTTGGCAGGCTGAGGAGGTGGAGTGTCTGTAAACTGGATTCATGCCTTTAAAAGCTTCCTGCTCTGATCCAGAGCTCCTGTTAGGAACTCACACTGATGTGAGGAGATGAAAGGCCTGAGGTGGTCTCAAGTACTTTCCCCTGTTTCTGAAGAACGGCTTGTTCAGAACATAATCAGCAGCGTACGTGAGGCTGCTGCAGACATGCCTCTGATTGCTAATAGCTTGTGCACTCTGACAGAGCCTCCCTCTGCGTGTGTGTGTGTGTGTGGAGAATAAAAGCCTCTAATTGAATATAAGTATATCAGCTATTTTGGTTGGAGGAAACACACTCCCACTCACTCGTCTCCACCTCTGATCAGATGAAGTGATCACGGTGAGTTCCTGTCGATGATGAATGAACGAAAACAGGACAAAAACAAGTGGAAGATCAGATACACACACACACACACACACACACGCACTATCACACACACAGCACTCTGATACTTTACTGGATCGATGCAACACAAAGACACAGAGCAGCTCACCACTTCGCATCTGCCGCTT